GTAACATTCCAAGCCCATAGAATGACTGTCCTGATCATTTTGATAACAGCTCGACCATATTTTATATTCGTATTCAATTGTAAGATACTAAAATTTGCATAAGCTCTCAGGCCCGTGGACAAACCTATTCAGTTCTGTATTACGCTCGTTTTATGTAAATAATACGTTCTTGCATTTTTTAACAACGATGTAAACTAGATTATATTTATACTAGGTCGCATTTATCAGTTTGCATATCGAATACTTGAGTTTATGTTGTATTTAAAGTAAAAAAAATATAAGAGCACACACCTGCAACTAAACTATCGCACAACTGTTTAGTATATTGCTTTGTTTCCTATAAGTTTATATGGCGGTAAGTACACTGCTCGATTTTTTTAGTTTTGCAACTACATAGTTGAAGCGACAATCGCACAAGTTTAGTCAAAGATGTGCGTCCGCTCTTAGTCTTCGTAACAACCCCGTTTCCTTCGAACTCTGTACATTATCTTTAATCTTTGACCTATTACAGTTATTTCAAAACGTCAAACATTTGTCTTAATACTATAAACAAGTAAATCAATGGGAATTTAAACGTTTCCGATGTTTTCGATGAATTACAATTCAATTCCAAATATATTTGAGAGATAATAATGTCGAATAAAGTCAATAAATAAAATCTATGAGTCGATGGAGTTGTTCGACAATTTATATTCGAGTTTACTTTAAAATTTACATAAGATTCACATTACGAAATTGTATCGGTGTCGTTTTTAATTACTTTGACACGTTGTTTTCTTGTCTTTGGACAAATTTAATGTGATTTATTATCTATGCATAAAACATTTTAGACAGTTTTGAATAGCGGTAACTAACCACCATCTGGGAAAATTAAGTTATCGCTTAATCGTGATATTTTTAATTATGCCCTGTTTTTTTTTACTGTGTAATAAAAGTGTTTATGTTTATATTAACTTGAAACAAATAGATACGTCAAAATCTTACTCTTGATTAAATTTCTGAAATAATAACTAAAACAAATAAAAGCTTAAAGCTCTTAATGTCGGTGTTTTAACTAATTTGGCAGTTTCAACAAATAAAATAACCATGTATGCAGTTATTAAACTTTCATATTAATTATTAATCAACACAAAAAAGGTATAAAACACGATCAATTAATCGCCATCATTAAAATGATAAACTTTAACCACATTTCGCCGAGGGTTATCAAAACAATTATTAAAGGACTCGGTAATATATTCGTGAGCCGAAGTGATGGTTTACCGTTCGAACGTAGATATTCTTAATGATATACCGATTACTACGACCATAAACACATTTTCTAAGATTTTAAGGTTATATGTCAATATAACTGTCAATTGTGAAATAAAAAAAATGTGAATATTCAATCTATAAGCGGATCGCGTGTTCAGCGTAGTTCTTAACAAGACCCTATAATAAATAAAACATTCAGAAATAAAAAGATATCGAAGTTGCAAGCAAACCAGAATGTCTATGGTTTGCAACTGGATGCGCCGGCTTGGTAATTTTAACCTTGCAGACAGTTGCAAATTGTTATTATCGGAGATGTGCGTTAAAATACAAAACAAGGTAGCACATTAGGGATAATAACTGGGGGAATTTCCCATAAATCGACTTGACTTATTACTGGCAATAAACAAAAACAACTGACACCTCTACTCGTTTATGGACATATATCAATTATTTTTAAAACAATACATCTAAAAATTTTACTTGTATAGTTTAATCAGCCTAGTCTGCGTTTTAATGACGACTGAAAATCCTGTAACCGTTTTAAAATAGTCAAGAATAAAAGGCATTTTTGTAATTCGTTTTATAAAAAAAAGAAAAACAAAAAGAAAAGCGTTGGACAAATTACTATATACAATTTTATACGCAACAATAACCCGTGCTATATTACGGCGTACTGCATTTCTGAGGTTCTTTTTGTAGGAGCACACTGTAATCTGGAATGACCGCAGTAATAACATTGCCGAGTCTAGACACCTGCTGATAAAAATAACATAGCCGTAGCCCAAGGACAGTGGCTGCGACAGTAACACAGTAATACATTTCTTTTTTTTTTCTCATCTTCAAGACGAGAGATAATTATGGTCATGTGTTGATTTTTTAAAGTTTATTTAATAATAGCAGTTTGTGATTTGCTTATTATATTACGATGTTAAATGACTATGCAAGGGGAATTTCTGTTTTTCTGAGTACTAGTATAGTAATATATTATCTGTGGTACTATTAAATAGAGGCGGATTAAGCTCCAAGTTTAACACAAAGGCGTTTACATACTCTCTATTCTAACGGTTATACACTTCAATTGACATAGAATAGAAATTTATTAAGGTCGGGAGTCCCACAGACACTATCCCTGCTGCCTCCGCAGCACGGACGGTGCAGTAAATGCATTTCCCGCAACAAAAAAGCGCATAAACACTTTACAATTACTAGACGTTGAAAAATTTGTTGTGGTTGAGCATTAGGGATTGAACCCAGTACCCAATTACTGTTTAACCATGACCACTAAGCCTTGCGCTCACGGCCGCGTAATAGATGTATTTTCAAAACAATGAAGTTCTGTAATAACGAGTACAAATCGAGTACAATGGGCTAGATCAATTTGATTACATTATACAAAAAGGTATGCTGTAATATTAGTTTAAGAACAGCATAATATTGAAGTTTTTAATATTTTCATAGAAATACAAGTAAAGGAAACTATTTATATGTATAAATTTCCCGTACAACTTGCTTTATGAAAATTTTACGTACTATGTGTGATTCGGTTTGAAAATAAACCGAGATTAAGAGATAAACTAAGCAAAAGCTTTAAGAGGTTAACATTTTCAGTAGCTGTGCTCATGAGGTTTGCCGACGACCCCTCCTAACCCTCCTACTAACACTGACTGGCCATCATCTACATAGTAATGTCAGTTAACGCGTGACGTCATGAGGCCATCGGAAAAGTGTGACGAGTAATAGCTATCTATACCATGAAATGTAAATACTTGCCGTTTAAGAATGTTCTTTTTAAAAAGTTCTAGATTGTTATCAGCGACGAAGTCTTAAAAACACGAGTAAATACGTAGTAAATTGAAACATTAAAAAGAACGAGAAATTGGTCAGTATAAAAGTCGTACAGATTTAATGTTGATGGATCTATATTTAATGGTCTTCATTACAAGATTACATAGTAATTACCTCATATTGACGTATAGGCTACCGCAATGATTTGTCTTTAATAAAAACACATCCAATTATTACAAGCTTTTTTCTCATAACCTATAATTATGAATACGAGTAACTAGAGTATGTAACCTGTTTTTATTCGTCTCTCATCGACTTGCATGTTTTTTTATACATTTTTTCCTATCAACATACGAGTTGGTTATTATGATTATTTTTATGGTAATGACTTCCACTTTTGAGAAGATTTTTTTATGATAAGCGTGAACATTTTTGCACATAGACTGTTTTTAGATCTGATTCAGGTAATAAAATTGTATATTAATATATTTACGGGAACAATTTCAATATATGTAAGGACACAAGGTTTAATACCATTTTCAGTAAGTAAGTAAGTTCTGTATTTTCAGTAAATATCAAAGTATAGTTGTGTTAGTTAAAATCGTAATTAATCTATTAACACATTGAGAATAACTTTCCGTTCTGAGTCATATTGAACTTACCTTAGATATGAGTTTTAATTAAGTCACAATTAATAATAATTGTGCAATTGTAAATGTTAATTATTTTGTTTACACGTCACATTATTGATGTAATTGTATATTAATTTTTTTTACAAGCACAGGATTTTTTCAAAATCAATTTGACAAACCAGTGAAGAAAACTTTTTTAAGCAGATAAAGGTTTAATAAGCAAGCTACGAGAATATTCTAATATTTATTTAGGTGAAATGTACTGCAACTGAAATCGTTTCAAAATAACTAACAAGATAATAGGTGAAATATGAAAGAAATTTCAAATATACCCAGGTTAGTGTATAAAGGAAGGAAAAATGGTATAAAAAACCAACAGAAGTAAAACTGTAATTTCTGCTTCACAGTTTGCTAGAATTCTTATAAATACTGTTTCATCGCCGTATTCTTTATTTATTTATCATACATTTTTACTATAAAAATTCACGCATTACTCAGTTTATTTGCTTTTTTCATTATCTGTGACAGATTTAATAATCTATGGTACCGTTAAAATAACAAGGAATGCCAATATTTGGTGTAAATTATAAACACTAACTCAATATCAAAAGAGATATGTGAGATTTTGTACCGTAAGTAACGTTTACTTAACAAACATAAAAGTATTGGAAAAATCATTCATTGAAATTAATTCAAATATATTGTGAAATTATTATAATTTGATACTGCGCTTGGAAAATTATAACCCGTTATCGGATAATTCGGATATCTTTGACGAAATAAATCCTTATTAAGTATACAATATTGGTACTTAGTATAAAATATTTCCATTACGGATAACGGATTCGCACTTGTTTTCACAAAGTTAACTATCGTGATATATCTGTGCAATTGAATTTAAAGTTATCATAAAAATTCTTTACATTGTTTTTTTTTATAAAATAAAAAGAGTTTTCATACGCTCTGTGTTCATACCCGGAGTTGTATTTCAGTATTTACAATACATTAAAGGATGTTTTCACTATAATAAAAACCGTATAGAACATTTTACATAATTCTTTCTGATGATATTGTTATCTAAGATTGTCTAAATATATTAAATCATAGATTACTTTACATGTCTATTATTACATCTTGTCTAATTGTAATTAAAATATTTTTAAGCGGTTTAATGAATTATTCTGTAGTATTTTTAAATATTAAATTTTTGTTTGATTTCTATTATGTTATGAAAATAAAATCATTCTGATTTTTAGGTAATTAAAAAATACGCAAATTGTGAATAAATCATAGCTTTGATTCAAAAGATAAATGTGAGAAAATACTCACCTGATATACGAAAAAAAGTCCACGCTCACAATTATTAGGTTTCTGTGTTATCTACAGTGTTTTGTTTCAGTGCGAACATTAAAACCTCTTTCGTAATATCGCGATTTATTACTAAAAATTTTGTTTATATACTGTGCTTAAGATGGACTTTCCCGCGCTCGCGTTCGTTCGAAAATGGCGGGAGGTTTTCGTATAGGGGCTGCGATACGTCCTTGCAACGCGGGCAAGGTCTCACCGGCTCTATGTACGGATTGGACGCGCGCCGAGGATCCTTCGCCTCTTATACTCAACGCACGACTATGTAACAGATGCAGCACTTACCGTAATAGCGATGCAAGCACAAAAAGTACAAATAAAACAGAAAAAACATATAAATATGTAACATGTACTTTAAGATTTTAAACTTCAATATACATATTCATTTTAGGTTATAAACCATTACCACAATTAATCGTAATACATAAACTTTAACATCTTAAGCCGCAAATCGTATTCAATTTGCAGTCCTTAACAAGCTTGTTTTATATTAATCGAAAGAAATGAATTTGAGGTATCACGATCACAAATCATGACATTTAGCGTAACGTAAGAGGCATTGATAAGTGTAACGTAAAAGCACCAGTGTAAATTGCATTGCGTTACTTAAGACGGACTTAATGTGCAAGTGGGTTACGTCATTTTCATTGTCCTAAAAACGCATAAATTTAAAGATGCATTTGAACGTCGTAAACGATTAGCCGAAACGTCAGGTTGAATATAAATATCCGTATTACTTCCTCGAATGAAAACTTTTAAGCTAAGCGTCGCCTAAGCTCGGGGCTAAACTTTTAGTAAAGCAAGTAAATTTTTCAAATTAATGTCCATAAATATCACTTTCTTGTGACATATCTTATAAAAAACGAATAAAAGTAAAAGACACATTTTTTGCTGTCTGTACAGAAAGTACTAATCCCAATAAATTCTTCGTTCAAATATTTTTATATCAAGCTTTGTCAAGGCACAAACTCGATGTACATTTTTCTAATTTACTTATACCATTCTCTAACGTGTAATAAATTTTATTTCATGCAGTTGGGATATTTATATATCGCACCATAATTTATAAGACCCTGTGGGAGTCAAGTTTAAATTTCGCTAACGAGCCGACGAACGACTTGCATTTTGAAAGTACTTTATTTATTAAAATATATACTTTTATTTTTAATATCGTTTGTTATTTTTTATTAACTCTCTTATCCCAGTTACTTGATAGCTTAGAAATACTATGAATTGCTTCTTTACCCAACTAGCTATAACTTCTATGGACACAGACAGGCTATGATTGTTTATTGTTAATTAAATTCTTGTATGCTGTAGATGGCTGCGATAGTGTTGCGTCTCGTAAAATTATACCCATAACAAAATGTCTTCTGTTGTCTCTTTAGTTCAGATAATATTGTATTTTGAACTACTTTTACGCTGTCTATTCAGTATTTTTTTTTCAATGCTAATCGCCATCCATGATTTATACACATTTTTAAGGAAAGGGTTTGTAGTAAAAATTACAACCCAGTTTCTATTTAATGTATAAATTATAAATATTCTTTTTTAGATAAATTTAATCCGTTATTTTTAACGGAAAACAAATAGGCTATTTAATAGCTACATCCGAATGAAAATTAGCATTAACAACCGTTTAAGGATGAATAATAACTAACAACAGCTTAGAAAGATTAATTGATATAGGTTACATCGTGTGATAGAATTTAAGGCGTGAAATAACTGGCAATTGGATATTTATTATCTGTGGAACATTTGGATGTTATATAAAAAAAAACGCCGTTATGTCGCATATGACAGTTGAAAACAAAACCAAACAAGGTATTTGCACAAACCAGAAACTTGTTTAATTGTTACTGTTTGCAATTTTTCTCTATCAACATTGTAACACGATACATTGAGTGTTTTATACTAGGTTTTACCAACGGTTTTGTTCGAGTGTAATTTAATTTGAATAATAGAAGCGAATTGTAATGTCCATTGAGATACTGCAATTTCACGAATACTAGCTGGTTTGAACACTTGACTTGTAATCTACAGGTCTTGAGTTCGAATCCGCCATGTACCAATGTGATTTTCGATTTTTCGAATATTCATATATACATAATTTACGCGACGTTCTTACGGTGAAGGAAAACATCGTGATGCAATCTGCACAAATCGGCGAAGAAATTATAAGATATTTGTGAAGTCAACCAACCCGCACTTGGCCAGCGTGGTTGACTATGGCCTGGTCACCCCTTATTAGGGTAGGCTCCGAGCCCCTAGGTGGGGCCGTATAGTGAGCTGGTGATGCTGTCACCCGGGACTCCGTTTGGTCGGATGTAAAAAAAAATCAAAAACAAAATGTAGCCTATGTGTTCATGCAGACTGCTCTACATCTATGAAAAATTTAATGGCGATCCATTCCACAGTTTAGGCTAAAAAGTCAAAGAAATATCTATTCATCTAAACTTTCGCATTTATAGTATACAGTAAGATTAGTAATACAGTATAGTGATAGAGTATAGATTATCCATGATAAACTAAAGATTTTTTGGTACTAATAACAAGTGACAAAGATTAATATTTGTTTTCATTGATGATTACATTTTTGTGTTTACCATTATTCATCGTAACCAAATTCGCACTTAAAAAAGATGACAATGAACTATAATTTATTATTCTAGATATGGGTAGGTAACATGATTTGGTTCTCCGTTATACTTGCGTATTTTGTTACAATATGATAATAGGTTAGTAACGATCTGAAAAAGAGATCAATACATCTTCAGTCGAGTTTTGAAGCTATAGACTTTTAGATTACAAGGAACAAAGATAATGAAGAAAGAAGGATCTGTCAGGAATCAGCAACCTATGCCCAACGTGTCACCGAAAGTATCCTAAAAAATAACCCTGTCGTGTCCTACAATCTTTGTTAAACTACTTTAGTGTACTTAAACCGATTTTAGTTTTAATTAATTTCACGCACTGACGAATCTATGTAAATTAGATTTTTTAATTTATTCTTCATCGTCTGCCGAGCAAGATGATTCATCTCAGGACAAAAATTAATACGTCCTTTACATAATACGTTGTAACGCTGATACAAAACGACTTACGTTTCCTAGTGTTTTTTTGTACGTTTTATTAAATCATTGTTTTGTTGACTGAGATTCCGTGTAATCATTTTAAAGTACAAAGTAATTGAGCGACTTATTGAATGTGCTTTAAACATAACCTCAAACTCAAAAGCATTATAAACCACGATCAAGTAATAAATTACAATATCGTAAATCGATCCCTAAACATTGACATGATACAAAACTCCGGAAGATCTAATCGCTGAAAATTTGTCAAACACATATGTACGTAAAGTCGCGGACATTTACAAATGCAATCCCGAATATCAATAAAAAATTCTCTGACAAAGCCTCCAGTGTTCAATGAGTCACAAGATCAAGCATATATACAATATAATTTAAATAAATAGAAATGTATTTATAATTTGTAAAAAGGAACGACACTGTTTTTTAAAAGTGTTTCCAACATCAAAGGTATTCATCATAAAGTCATTTAAAGGTGATAAAGGATTCTAGAGAAATATGTCAATTGCTGATTTAAAAACCATATTGCTACGCCTTGAGATGAGTTCTTAAGGAAAATGTAGTGGGTTGAATGACCCAGGAGTATGAACTCTCGGTTCATAGAATTTTCATCACAAAAAACTATATGATTAAGCATTCGATTATATCTGAGAAAGTTAAGTAATGCGATACTTAATAATGGTAAATTCTTCACTGAATTTCCTTTGAACATACTAATCAATATTGATTGTTCTTATTTTAGTAATATGTTGCTATTTAAAAATTTAACTCATATTTTTTTAAATTTTAAGTTACGACGTAGCTTCCACGCTATACAAGAAAAAAACTAAAATGTCACAAACTATTATGCCAGTTCCATAGTTGTCCTATACCTTCCTCGAGATTCAATGTTCTTAATTTCCATACTCATTTGATGGAGTGGTACATTCAGTAATGCAAATAAACAAAACATTAACGAGTTTTAAAAGAACGGATATCGAATACAGTGCTTTATGAACCTTTTAAATGTTCCGATTTATGTTTTAAGTCAAAAGAGTTCTCGAATTCGACAAATCTCGCGGCGAAAATGTTTGCGTTCCGTGACATGTGCGAGGTAATCCGTCAGACGTCAGGTTTTGGTGTCAGGTTCGCGCTGCACATAGCAAACGGATCGATTTAATCCATTTTTTATAAAAGGTGAGGTCCTTGTAGTAACCAACAACAGGGTTATTCGTCTTCCCCTTTTTAACTCACCAAGAATCGTAGAGGTCATCAAGACCTCTTAATTCTGTTCTGGGCAATAGTTAGGATCATATATGTCCCATATTTACATAACCGAATTGACTGTATTTTGATATTTTTAATTAAATATTTCTACTACCAATAATAATAATCCGACATGTTATATTCAATTTTGTAAACTCCTATAAATTGCATGGAATGAAAAGCTTTTTTATTTTTATTTCATTTTATTATGTCCTATATTAGGTTGCCTGTATTTTAAAAGAATATTAAGAGTAAATAAATAAAACTTAAAGGTGTAGCTAATACCTCTTGCAGATTTGTTGGTGATTTAATTACTTAATCTGACATGGCGGTAAGACTTTGTTTAGCATTCTTGACCGGATTTACGCGTCAGATCGCGTCAGAGTTTTCTGTTTATCGTTTTATTAATTACTCATCTAATATCAACTGATTATCTTTAAAATGATAATTGTTACTTCTATATAATAAATATTTAATTGTTTTGAGCTAATGAAATGTCTATAAATTTATTTTAAAGAATAGCTTTGCTAAGCTGTAACTTTATTTTATTGTTAAACTAGCTGTTCCCGTGCGGCTTCATGCGCATGAAATAGTGAAAATTTTATTTTATTATTTACATTTATCAAATTTTCAATTGCAAATGTCAAAATACCAATGACCTTACTATGGCAATCTTGCTTCTCGATGTTGGCAGCTCGTATCGTATGGTCTCTTTCCCGCATTAGGGCTTTTATCAATATATTGAACCCCTAATTTTAATGGCGTGTAAATATATAGCTTAAAGCCTGACGTAAGTGTTATGCTTTTAAATAAAAAAAGAATTATTCAAAAATATGCTGTAATTGCTGAGATCTTAGACAACAAAGAACTGTGTGTTTACGCTTTATTATAATAGTATAGAAGATATTGTTTAAATTCTACGTTTTGAATATAACATACATATGTTAAAACATATATTTCAAACAATTAATTTAAGACGAGTTTAAATTCCAACGTCGTATTTAGATCACAGTTCAACGCCCAACTTTTTTCAACGTTGGTAGTTATTAGTAACGTCATATCGCATGATATGCAACTTCTATTGTATAGAACCGGATGATAATAAAATCATTTACAATCAATTGTTACGAAATAAACACAACACAAATTACTACAGAATGTTAAAAGCATTGCAATTATCAATGGAAAAACAGATTATCCTGTTAACCTTGATCCTGAAGAAGTTATGTGCTCTTTAATTAGAATAATAAACTACAACCAGATATAAGTTTTAATTCATACAATCTAAAGCATTACTCCAGTCTCGTTAAAATAAAAATAAAAAGTTATTAGCCTATGTATTCTTCCAGACTATATTCTTCATCTATGACAAATTTTACCCATATTCGATCAGCATTTTAGGCTATAAACTCCACAACCATCTAAACTTTCGCATTTATAACAGAAAAATTTAAGATACAAAAACCACGATTCGAAAATAAGTTGAACTATCAAGGTCAAGGCTGTTTTTCTGCTTACTAATGCAGCGTGGATCTGACATAGAAACCTGACGATTTGACGAATTGTTTCGCCCTGAACGACACCAAGTGCATCCTTTACTGACATTGTCGAAATCAAGAGATCTACTGACACACTGAGTGCAAACATGTAACAATGTAAATCTCTCATCCTTAATCTACATTAGTAACCATTTAAAGGAACCTTCTGAATGTACCAGTAACCGTACTTTTAATCTTCTTTTAATACTCTAAGTTACTGTCAGATTAATCAATATTTGTCCAATTTGCAATGCACGTTTAAAAATTTTTTCAAACGTTAAAATCTTTTCCTTTAGCTTCAATCCTCTAAGCCATATAAAGGTCTAAAGCTTACAGTGCATTTTAGACCCTGCTTATCTGTTTTTATAATCTCATATCGTTTCAACAATGAAGTGACATGTGGATGCTAATTCAAGTCACTTCCTTTGATTCCGTAACTTTAAGACTTTAAGTGCAAAGGAGTAAATCATTCGTGATGTATTTTTTGTAGACTAAATTGTTAAATATGTACTGGTATATTGTGTAATATTGATTTTCGTAATGCTTCAACAGCAAACATGCCCCCTTAGACAAATTAACATTCGATTCTCGCTATCAGTCATTAAAAAGTCAAAAATGTATGGAACTTAAGATAACATTCGATAAATCACGTGATTGTCACGTATTCATTTCTATACATATTGACCCATTTTGTCGATTTAACTAGCGAAATCGCTAGTTAAAAGTCACTTCGTCTAAGGAGGCTGGATTCAACAATGCTTTCTTCTTAGCTTTCTATGTTAAGTTCTCGTAGTTACGAGAACTACACAGAATTGCATAGAACATTACATTGTTTGACGCGTTACTACAACGTAATTCTTATTTTAATTAATCCAATCATTTTGATAAGGGTCTTTTAGGGATTATAAGTATAATTCGAGTCGTTGACCATTTGGCTACCACAGTCATTGTGTACACGATAAAACTTTACAGATATTAATGTGGGAGTATTCTGAATTTGAAACAAAGAAACGTGAATAGCATTCAAGCGTACAATAACAATGTTTATGCCAAAAATGGAAAATCCATAAAACGAAATCTCAGTCTAGAGGTCAATGTTTCTATTTAAAATATTTTCTGTGTAATATTAAACTTCAAAAGTTTTATCAGTTTAGTTGTGAGAGTGGTTTAGTTAATGTTCTGACGTCACTTTAGAAATCGGTTGAAAAACCCTAAATTTCTATATCTGATTTATGTTTCATTTTCATTTTTTTTTAAATTTAAAACACAAATTAATTTTATCATCATCACCATAAGACATTTGACCAGAAGGGATAAACCGAGGTTAAATTAATTGTTTATTCAGAAAAATGCAGAAACGCAGACAAATTACGTTAAATTGTAAATAACGTAGACATTGTTATAGGCAAAAACTAGTTGAGATACAAGAAAATTACTTCGCCACTTTCCTGTGACTAATAGACAACTACGTTCATTAATTTAAACATCTACTGTTCAGAAAAAAAATTTACAAGCTAACGGAAAAAGCAGCTGAATCACTCGAAAACTGTGTAGGTTATCGGTTTTAATATTTATATTTGAAAAATAGCTGTCATAAAATTCGATAACTTAAAAGAGAGATGTTAACTGCAAAAAAATTTTGATGGATGTGACATATGTTCATCAAAATCTAATACATCACTTAAATGCAAAAAAGAGCCTACTTACTAAACAATTATAAAAAAAATCTGCAAATGCAGAATATGTTATCTAGATGCTCATCAGTCACGTCAATGTACTAATGGAGGGACACGTAGGGCAAAGTGCTGACTCGGCACTTAAATTATAAATATGTGCACATGTTATACAGTGTGGACAATTTGAAGTACAACAGCTACCTAGAGTATTATGATAGTAACAATGATTACTATGTAATAGTGTGTAGCTTTGATAAAATAGTACATATGCACGTTGTAAACAACACTTTATTTTTCGACGCCTGTGGAAAAATATTAGCATTTTTATGATAGTGTGAATCTTTACGGAACAGATAATTCAGTACAGATGGACAGATTTTTATCTTATTAATGCGCCATAATTAGTAACCCAATAAGTCGAAGCGAAAAAAAAACCTTTCGTTTACGTCTACGTTTTTAACAAATGTATTTAATAATCTATGGTATTGTTACCAATTTTTTTTTTGGTATAAAATAGATTTTTTATAATAGCAACACCATTTCTTTTCCGGTACGACAAAGATGTCAAAGCTAAATTTGTCCAAAATTTTATTTGCCAATTTCATCAATCCACCGTTTTATTTAGCAAACTACTATCCTTTAACTATCGTTTATTACCAAGTGTAAATAAAACTATAAAATGCCACGTGGTAAGTTGCTGTCTACGTGTAAATTTTCATTTTCTTTTCGAGTTTCAATGTCGTACAATGTTATTGAGAATGTGCTTTATTTGATAACCTGTATTGTTTTTTAATATTTCAGGTAAATACACTAATCACAAGGGACGTAATCGTAAATTTACTAGTCCCGAAGAATTAGAGGAGCAAAGAAAACAAGAAGAGTTAAAACAAAAGTAAGTGTATTCCATTCTTTACCACAGTCAATATATTGTTATGGGCAGTTTATTCTTATATGACGCATCGAGAGTTAAATTGAAGATTGGTTTTGATGCATAGAAGTTTATATAACTTGTTTTTAACTCAGAACTATATTAAAGTTGTCCCTGAATGAAACAGATGGAAAAAGAATCTTGTGTAAAGGTTGTTATTTGTTGCATTAACATTATCGTATCGAGGCTAATATTGTCCACAAAACCACTATTTAGTTATTTTAAAAGGAATAAATCATTTCAGATGGAGGAAAGAACATGGGCCGAGCAGTAGCGAAGAAGAATCAGAGGACAATAAATCTGGTTCAGGCAGCAGTGACGACAGTGATTCTGATGACGATGTAATTATTATACAGACAATTTAGTCATTACATTAAGGATTGTATAAAAGAATGTACAGGTCATTGCCCTACAGTCTGTCAAAAATAGAAAAGTACAGATAGCAACAAATGTTAAACATTTGAATATTTTCATTTACAGATAATATTATTTTAAAATTCTAGAGATCCTTATATTATAGATACGTTAATTTAGAGTTTATATATTGTGGGCACTCTATCCTATTATGAAATGCAATGTAGAATAAATTAACAGGAAGAAAAAATAATACTCTTGTATTATGAAATTCATGTCATTTAAGCAGCAGTAATTGAATCTTTATCTTTCCTTATTTTTTTTTATAACTTTGAAACACATTGTTTTGTAAGACAAGATATAATTGTGTTTCAGTTGTGGTATTATAAGAGTTATTTAAAGACTTGTACTTTAAAGTGTTATATATAAGAAATTTATAATTACAGCAACCAGCAAAGGCGAAAGGTGTGTCCGGTCTCATTGAAGTGGAAAATCCAAACCGAGTAGTGAAAAAAAATAAAAAGCTGAATAACTTGGATAACCTTGGTGATGGCGAGAAACCTCAGTTGTCAAGGTATGTTATTCAAAGATGGTCTATGATATTCCATTTATATTGAGTTTATTTCTTTGGTACTGAGTTTATTTTCCGGTGGTTTTATTTTAGTTCCTTTTTACTTATTATTCTTTTTTTGTAACAAAAGGATGGGAAGAGAAAGACAATTTGGTGGAAGCGGGAACATATAGGCAAAATATTCACTTTCTGTAAACAACAGTAACTTTGTTATTTCAAATTCAGGTGATTGCTTGTTAGTATGCCACCATATATTAAAATAAGTGTCATATTTACGAATGCTTGTTTCATTACAAAAAAGTGACTTACAAGTCTCTTTAGTACACTAAACTACTTGTAATATAGATAAATAATAAATTATAATATTCTTTTATTTTAATGTATTGTAATATTTAAGGCGTGAACGTGAGGAAATAGAGCGGCAGCGTGCGGCGGCGGCGTACCAGAAGGCGCACGCGGAGGGAAAGACGGACCAGGCTCGAGCGGACCTCGCGCGGCTCGCCATCATCCGCCAGCAGCGCGAGGAGGCCGCCAAGCGACGCGAAGCTGAGAAGAAAGCTAAAGACGAAGCTACCAAGAAAAGGTAATATATTAACTGTCTGTGACTCCATTTGTGCAAAATTAAACTTATATGTCTCCTTCCGGATTATGTTGTACTATGTTCCATTTTAGAGAGATCCATTGAGTTTTGGAGATATGTAGTAACAAACTTTCATTTATCTAATCTTTTGTATTTATATTAGTAAGATGGCTGGCAATCCTCAACTATGTGCTTTTCGAGAAACGTCTCACACAGCCATGTTGTGAAGTGAGGAGACTGACTCCTCATTGGTTTAAACAGTAAAAATATATCCATATTGAGACCATTCATTTGTCATTTGATTTGTCATATGATTTGATTTTTTTTTTAATAAGAGAAATGTCTTATTAGCTGCGGGAACAAAAAGATCATCTTGTAGAAAATTGTAAACTATGGAGTTTAGACTGCAGTTTATTCGTTTTAGCAATCATTAAAGTGTGTTTGTTTTTGTCCACAGGTAGACTAATCAGCAATAGACTAACAGGAATACTATTTTCAATGTCAAATGCTCATAATCTCAAATTAGGTGGCTTTCGAAATCCTCAATGTTTATTATTAAAGTAAATTTTATTCGCCATTTCAAGACTGCATGGATAAATTTATTATTATGAGAAATGTTATCGGAATTGATATATAAATAAAAATTTACTTTGAATATCTTATGACAAAATTTGGAAAAAGAAAAAAAAATTGTATAATACACCTCCTTTAAGAAACAGTGAAAGTAAATAATAAATTTCCTCAAAACGTAAAAATAAAAATAATTACAGTTCTATCAGTGTTATTTTTGGTTAAATAAAACCTTTTTATTTTCTGTATAAAATAGTGTTCATATTTTAACTATAATTAATTATTTTTACAATCGTGATGTCCTTAAAAGATTTTTTATAATTATTTACGGGATAAATTGCAAAGCATGACATTTATAAAGCTGGCAAAATGAATTTATATGAACTGGCAACAGACATTTCCATGTATTTAATTTTATTAAGCAAATAAATATTAAATCGTCTTATAGGCAAATTGTAGGAAATTCGTTGTTTTATTTAAATATAAAAAGATTTTAATACACAGATAGAACGCAAGCAATATCTGTGAAAACATAATATTTTATGCATAATTTTAAAATGTATTCAACGACAAAGTATGCTGACTTGATACAAAAATTGCACAATTTTATGTTTATCACTGTGTTCACATTAGCACATCTTGCGTTGCACAAATGCTCATTATGCTTATAACATCTAAATTATCTGTAATACTTTGTATTTAGAATTCTAATCAGTGTATGCCTGAAGGGGAAACCTCAAATTTTAGAACGATTTTAGCAGCCACTAGTCTTAAATATAAACTGGTACTAAAACTATAAAAAACATGTATTTATTATAGTGAATTTTTAACTTATAGATACTCCAAGTGCATTCTTGACTCGTTATGTTCCCGCGTTTATTGAATTATAAAAAAAAAACAAATACGATCTGTCCCTGTCTATGTATTGAAATCTTTATTCAAATAGTATATTCTATACTGGTCAGTGTTACCAGATTTAAAAAACTTAGTAGTTTTGCATTACAAAAATGTAATTAACCGATCCACACTAATTATGTGCAATTTTTATTGTAAATGTCGCATTTTATTGTAATAAAATTGATATTTTCAGGTTATATTGTAATTGTCAATTTATATAAATGCTATTCATATTAAATTTTGTATTAAATAAAATGTATTGAAGGGTATATGTACGTATGTTGTGTATTGTCATTTGAACCACAATTTTATTTGAGTTTGCTTAGGTCTAATTGTTAGATAGACTCACTAGACAATTTTTATATATAAATGTGTATCTGTAAAATAAAGTATTAAAATTGGATCATTTATTATTTCAATTTTTAAACCTACTCAAAGCATTGCGAATCAAAGAATAAATGATAAGCAACGTTAAAAGCTATTGAAAACGTTTTTTTTCCATCTTGTAGTATAAAATAATTAAATAGGTGAGTAAAGTCAAAACGCCTAATAGTTTTAATTAGCAAAAACATTGTATCGAACGTATGCTCGTGTAATAAAGTTTTGAAAAGATAAGGTTACCTTTGTAGTATTCGTCATCGTAAGTGTAATGAAGTTTACTCAGATTGCTTATTTATAAGTGAAATATGAACATCGACGAGAAGTACTTAGTAATTATCAAGGTAAGTTATTATTACTACTTTTAGACACATTTTATTGTAAAGATGTTTTGCCATTGCAATTACCTACACATTTCGCTAATTAAAAGTTTTCTTTATTTTATTTGATAAATATAAGATTGTGTGGGTATTTTATGTCCTACATTTAAGTATTGATTTTCCCCGGCCAAGGTTGTTTTAACCCCTACGCAAACTTGATTCATTGCTGGGCTGAAATCGGAAAGTTTTTCTATAAATCTCGAATTTAACGCCGCAATTCACTCGAGCCTGACTCCGCGATAAAGTTATGTTTAGTTTCAATCTGTTTTGTTAACTTTTATTTATGTTTCTGATTATTTTACCACAGCACTTATTTTTTAAAAAGGTTTTTAATTTAGGTTAAGACGGTCGAGTGACCAGCGCCCTGTTTGCCATCTCAGGTATCGCTGGATTAATGAATTAAAGAGAAGGCGGACGGCACGGAATCTAATAAAGTAGAGACTTCTGTTCCAAGACTTCTTTCAAGGTCGAGGTTCAATTTACTTTAATGTTGCAGCCTAGTTGGTTATTATTTTTAATTAGGAATAGAGTTGCTTCGGGTTTCAAATTAAGAATGGCTTAGTTATCTTGCACAGCATGCTTATATAGTTGTAAGAATATAGGTGAAGCGAAGATGACGTGCTAAGATTTAGACGTTAGTCAAATGTGTCTTACTATTTTGACTCCGCTAAGTTTTTTAAAGTTTACGTACAAGTGTCGTTCTTTAAATTGACCCATCGGTCTCTTAGAATTCAAATAATATAAGTGATTGCGAATGCAATTTGATAAGAAAAGGCGAGACGCAATAACAAGATATTTCCCGTTGGCTCTAAACGACTTCTTTGTGAAGCGATAAAATGCACTCAGAGGAAATCCTTATTCAACACGATTGACAAGATATTCAGACACTATGATGTATTTGAATCTATACTTCGTATAAATGAGAATGAATTAAGTGGGTCTTTAGTGCTAAATTTTCTACATTCAGATCTGTAGTTTTGATTGGTTAGACTTATTAAAAATGCAGTGCATTTTATAATATTAAATATTCCAATTTAGGTTTAAAAAATACATTGAGCTTTTTAGGGCAAGTACAAAATTCCCGAATACCAGTTATCTTTATTGAGCACTCAGTTAGATGACTTGTAAAACAAATATCGGAAAGGTTGAACGGTATTGCCATATTTTCTATTCCGAATCGTAATATTTGTAAGTGGTTGAAGCAATCTACGTAAATAAAAAGGGATACAAAACAAATTGAACACCAAATTGCCTTTGTGATGGTAAATTAAATACTTTATTGAAATACTATAAAATGTAAGGTATGTTTAAAATAATTGATGACTTCAACGCGTGAAGAAAAACTGTTTTATCCACTTTTTCATAGGAAAAGTAAGAAATGAGGGTACACAAATAACAACCAGTTCATATTAATTGTTTATTATCTTTTCTGTTAATAATTCTTTTGTAGAATCGAATCGAAGAATAAAATGTCTTTGAGAAGCATTTTCAGACGCCACCATTCACCTGGACGCAATGTTCCTCAGAAGTAAGGTAAATATAAAAATATATTTTTCTACTATAGTTGTATTTACCTTGATATGTTTGAGCAAAAGTACAACCAAAAAAGCATTAACGCAGATTTATATCAATGCGATATAGTCATCTCGGGAACATGTTTATATTTCAATTTGTTCCTTCCTTGGAGCGAAATCATGATAAATGATGCAAAATGAAGAGCGTGGCGCTGCGAGAACAATAATCCTTTGTTAGTACGATGTAAGACAGTTCCTCTGTACGCCGGCTGAAGTATCCACTCTGACTGAGCACTTCACTTATTGAACACGGAAGTCAGTAACTTTCGACTCATAGAGAATTGAAAACGTGTCAGTAGTTTTGTCTGTTATAGGTTATGTTAAAATAATCCTATCAATTTTATTATCCTTTCATATTATAAATTGTAAATGAAACTGAGAAAAAAAATTCCTTGACTTAGGGTTACAAAGTGATGTGTGTTATCTCATTTTTATATAACTATCTAACTTACCGAGAAGCTTAAAAGCTGGAACGCGCTGCTCGTTGTCACATAAAATAAAATGCTTTAAATACTTGTAGACTATTCGTGTGACAGTAACAGATAGAAGTAACGTAGAAAGTGTCTACGCCAGACCGGCGTAGCAAGGATTAATGTTGACCCAGTGCTACGACGTAGCTGGAATATACTTACGAAGCCACTACTAGTAATATAACAAAAGATTTATAACTTTTAATGTATGTATACAAATACTACTTTTTATTTGTACAATTAACTTCCGAATTTTGTTTCGGTATTTTCATATCAAAACCACTGTACAAAAACTGACGAAAACAAAAAAAAAACTATGTATCAGTACAATTCACAGTAAGCGTAGTGTAAAGTAAACGGGAATTTTTACGTTTCGCTTGAGTAGTTATGCTTTGTATGTAACTGACTTTAATTATAGCCTGGACATGGTCGTGCGGGGAATTAGCATAGCCAGGCGCTACGCCTCGGGCACCGGGAGTTCACGTAATGAGAATTTACAACCCTAACTGCCGTACTGCACTCACATTCGTACTTTTAGGCACGTACGATACACCGGTAAAAGCATCTACGTGGAAAAATCAAGGTAAATGCATTGCTATTTAAATTTTAACCTTTAGTTTAGAGACAGTTATATTATTAACTAAATCTAAATAATTACTGAACCTTTAACAAATATTATTTTGTTTAAATAGAATACAAGTACAGTCATCGGTGGCTCAGGGATTTAAACAATTGACTTGTAATCTACAGGTCTTGGGTTTGATCCCGTCATATAGTGATTTTTGGTTTTCGAATTTCTAATTTCATATGTACATAATGTACTTGACGTTCTTATGGTGCAGGAAAACATCGTGATGCAACCTTCACACGCCGGCGAAAAAATTCAAAGTTATGCGTGAAGACAAGTATTTGGCCACCGTGGTTGTCTATGGCCTAGTCACCCCTTTCTTAACGTAAGTTCCGAGCCCCTTAGTGACTATAGTGAGCTGGTGGCGGTGAATACAAGTAGAACAAACTAACTTTAAAGACGACATGGAGAGCAAAAATCATAAAATAAATAAGGTTTGGGTAATTATATTATCATCTTCAAGTACGAAAAAGAAAACATATTGATCATACTTTTCAATAACTTCCCCACTGCAGTGCAGCTAAACAGAGTCTCCACAGAGCATCTGTTAAATTAGCAAAGTTTAGTGTTGCGTCGCGGCCGGTTAGGGACCACTAAATGACAATTTACCGGCTTAACTTGCTGACTACCAGCGTTCATAAGTTATCTATTGAGCTTACAAACTTTATGCAAGTTACTTGCTACTTTGAATATTGGAAAGACATGATTTTTAACTAATGGTTTGGTTAAATGCTTTTGACTGTGATTGTGTAAGACTCATAATTAGAAATAAACTAAACCCAATAATACAAATAAAATTTAGCATTAGCAGCACCCTGTATTAAACTTTCTCTTAAACATAGAACTTGTTTTAGTGTACACACATTATGTCTATTTATTCGTCTCATATGTAATTCATAAACATATTAAATAAAAAAGAAGGAAATATTTTAAGGACTTGAGCCTCAATAAACCTTAATCTAGTATTATTGTAGGGCATTTTATCTCATCCTTCATGTCTCGTGGGTGTGCTTGTGGCCACAGTTGAAAGATCAAATCTCTATTTGGATTCGCTTTGAACGCTTATCTGTAATAGGCGGATGTTTTATTTTTTATCTAAAAACATGAAATAAAAGGTTTGTCCGTAAGATTTATCCTAATAATAAAAGAATTGATGAGGCAAAAATAAATTGTTGATTTGGTTATTTTATCTTCAACTAGTTTTGTTGTTACAAATTTTAACTATGCTAATATTTTTGAATCGTAGATTAAATAGACTTCAAATAGACTACTTAAAATAAAAAAAAGGTTGGGAATGTAAATCACATATTTAGATGTAGGCTTACGTTGCCTTTAAAATGCTGCATAGAATAAAAGAAGACACGGGTCAAAATGCCTTTGTTATATATTCTTTAAGCAAGGGTGGAACTGAATTAGCTCAATTTGAATAAAGGACAGGATAGATAGGGAACTGGAATTCGACAAAATGCGAACAGATAAAAAAGATTGTCTTCAAATGAGGTTAAGGGGCAACCCTGAAATAAAATATCCAGTAATGAGGGAATCTGCATGCATCTTGAAAAGAATTCATATAACTTGAATTATGTAATTTTGTTAGAGATTTATATCATAAATATAAAGTGAATTAGATTATCGAGAACATAATTTAAAGAATGTTTAAAGTTTGAACAATTGTTTTCCGGTTTGAGACCTATGACGTCACACTTTGCGATGGGTATAATATCTGTATAGCCATACTATTGGAATAATTGAAAACTGCTGGTTCGATTTCAAAAATTCTTTTTAAAACGTTAGGTTAGCAGTGAGTAACATAGGTTATATTTTATATTATTTTTTTTAATTTCACGCAGACGAAGTCGCGAGTAATAGATAATAACTAGTGTTTACTCGTAAATACAGTTGTTGCATACTGTCGCTATTCTTCGCGCAATAAATGTATTTTAATTAAACAAGAATATTGTTTGCGTTATTACGATTTACATTTGTACTACAACTTGCGTCGGAGCCAACTGGCAACACGAACATAAAATGAAAAAAATTTAATGACTCATATAATGCACACTGTAGTTTATGATTTAAAAAGACTGTCACTCGCTTGCGTATTTTATAACAATTTTTAAATTGCCTCACTATTTATGTCTACTAAATTACTTCTTTTGTTTTTAAATATGAGGTAAAAAATATGAATTTGTCAATTATGTTCATTGTCATGTTCGTAAATATGAAATAAAAATGAAACAAATTCTATTAGTTTAACGCCATTTGTATTACGAATTTTAACAAGCGTCGCGAATCTGGAATTATTAATAAGCAAATGTGTTTTAAATTAGCATAGTTTGACGGAGCGCCGCAGGCTGTGAAACTGTCGGTTATTAAATTTCACCGGCATTGCATAGCAACAGCCCGCAGTATATTGTAGCATGGGTGCAAGCCACACTGAAATCATTTCAGTTATATTTGCATGCAAATTTGAGCAATAACTCGCAATTTAGAACCTAGTAATGTAAAGCCTAAACAGAGATTAGATAGAAAATAAATTAATTTAATTTTACATGTTGACAATTTTATTCATGACATTTTTTAAAATGCGATTTTCG